AAACAAGGAACATTAACTTTCTCCAAGGATGAACATGTCTTGTTTGTTATCTGTCATCTCCAAGGATGAATATGTCTTGCTTGTTATCTGTCATCTCCAAGGATGAATATGTCTTGCTTGTTATCTGTCATCTCCAAGGATGAATATGTCTTGCTTGTTATCTGTCATCTCCAAGGATGAATATGTCTTGCTTGTTATCTGTTATCTCCAAGGATGAATATGTCTTGCTTGTTATCTGTCATCTCCAAGGATGAACATGTCTTGTTTGTTATCTGTCACTAAAAATAGTCATATTATTATAAATACTAAGCTCTAGATGTGGATTCTGCTCACATAAACTTTTGAGAATCATAAGTAATGTACTTTTAGTGAATACAAACGTATAGTTAATGTTTCTTGTTTGTTGTACCACAAGTACAAACATATAGTTAATGTTTCTTTTTTGTTATACCACAAGTACAAACGTATAGTTAATGTTCCTTGTTTGTTGTACCACAAGTACAAACGTATAGTTAATGTTCCTTGTTTGTTGTACCACAAGTACAAACGTATAGTTAATGTTTCTTGTTTGTTGTACCACAACTACAAACGTACTTTGTTATCTGTCATCTCCAAGGATGAACATGTCTTGTTTGTTATCTGTCATCTCCAAGGATGAACATGTCTTGCTTGTTATCTGTCATCTCCATAGATGAACATGTCTTGTTTGTTATCTGTCATCTCCAAGGATGAACATGTCTTGCTTGTTATCTGTCAGTTTAACATGTGTTTGAGTGTAAATCTTTATCAGCCATATTTCCAGACCAGGTGATAAATCTTGTCACGTTTTAAAGCGTACATCGATTGACCCCATTCGACGCGTTCGTTCGAGTCAGACCTTTAATATACGAACTGTACAGTCTGAAATAACAAACTTTCGAATTGAAAACACGAATATGGTTAATGCTGAATGTAAGCTGTTAACACCTGCACTTAATTAATGTTATTTTTTTTATAATTACTGTTGTTTTTTTTAAAGCGTAAGCCTAAACATCTATTTGTTTTATACTGTACTTCAGAGAATATCTGCTTCGCATCGGAAGTTACCAAGTAATATTCTGAAGGCTTTTTATCCATTAAACATCGTTTATGGAATTATGCTATTTTCTTTGACAGCCTGTAGAAAAATTGGGGACAAATATATAAATTTTCATAAATAAACGTACTTTATGATTTACAGTTTAGTTATTTCTTAAGTGTTTTTTATAGTAGTTTAGCTTGGACAAGTTGACGTGTCTGTTAGAAGTGAAAAGGCTTAGTTGTGTTTTAAAGGTTAGGTATATGTTTGCATGTGATATCTATAAGTTTTAGAAGTTAACTCAAGCAAGAAACTGGATAAAATTGGGAACGTTGATATTTTCCTTTTTTTGTTTTAATCATCATACAAAGATATTTAAAACAACAAAACTTACCGAATCAAAGAATAGATGACGCCACCGTTTCTTCACTTAAATTTACGTTTTGGTGAAGAAAAGAAACTAACAAATACATAAGATTTGATGTTGTTAAGTTTTACTTTGATCTTTCTCATAACATGTATTTTTTCTAAAAGGCTTCAGAAAAAACAAAACAAGAACAAAAAAAACCCTGTTATATTGTAACACATTTTTCTTATCAGGTGGAACTGATAATCAATCAGTTACCTCAGCTGCCTTATGGCGCCACCTATTTGTGTGTATTTGGTGATAGTGGACCTATTCCAGCTCGTGTAACCCAGCATGGCCTAACTTGCCAAACGCCACTTTTCACAAGTCGGCCAATCATTCCAGTAGGAGAAGGTAAGATTGTTTGTTTGTTTTTTATCCAAACACATTGCACATTGAATTTCTTATAAAATACCCACAATGTCTTGTAAGTTTTAATTTAGTTCTTGATGGGTTTTTTAAAAAAAAGCTGTAATGTTATTTTTATTTATTGGAATATGATTACAGTTAGGTCATTCTAAACACTTTGATTAATATTATTTCAATAAGTAGTTATTATTAACTTCTGGTAAACAACAAAATAAAAATCTCTCTCACCTCCAGGGATAGATATGTTATCTGTCATCTCCAAGGATGAATATGTCTTGTTTGTTATCTGTCATCTCCAAGGATAAATATGTCTTGTTTGTTATCTGTCATCTCCAATGATGAACATGTCTTGTTTGTCTTCTGTCATCTCCAAGGATGAACATGTCTTGTTTGTTATCTGTCATCTCCATAGATGAACATGTCTTGTTTGTTATCTGTCATCTCGAAGGATGAACATGTCTTGTTTGTTATCTGTCATCTCCAAGGATGAATATGTCTTGCTTATTTTCTGTCATCTCCAAGGATGAATATGTCTTGCTTATTTTCTGTCATCTCCATAGATGAATATGTCTTGGAATAGAGAAGTTGTCTCCAGAGTTTAGTTTATTTTTTTACCTGCAAATTATTTTAAAACCCACACACAACTAGTTGAAATGATACAGCTTTGTGAAACACTACGTCATACGTTACAAGTTCTTTAAAAACCCACAACTAGTTGATATGATATAGCTTTGTAAAACACCACGTCGTATGTTACAAGTTCTTTGAAAACCCACAACTAGTTGATATGATATAGCTTTGTAAAACACCACGTCATACGTTACAAGTTATTTTAAAACCCACAACTAGTTGAAATGATACGTGTTATATTAATAACAAGCAGAGTGTTATATTAATAACAATCAGAGTGTTATATTAATAACAATCAGTGTGTTATATTAATAACAATCAGTGTGTTATATTAATAATAATCAGAGTGAAACTTGGAGGGAACAATTATGTAGTTACGAATTGTCGTTTCTTCACCGATTATTTATCAGAACTGTTTAGTTTACGTTATGAAAAATCTGTATACATATTATTTGAATATCACGGAATTTTTTCCTTTTCATAAAAGTGTCTCATTTTTATTGCTGGTTCTGAACAATTTAACGTAGGAGTAAAATATGCTGTATTCGCCGGTCAGGTCACGTTAGCTTCACATAGAACAACAAGAGTTTTGTTTATCTACCGTGTGGTGGTAAACCCACAGCAGCTGGCATATATTTCTGTTGTGTATTCGTGCAACACTAGGGAGTTGAGTAATCATGCAGTGCATTCCGAGGGGGGTTATGCACTGATCGCACGCTTATGCAGTTCAGCACCAAAAGAACGAAAGGGGGGGGGGGGGGTACTTGCATGTCAGCTTCAGGACCAAGTAAAGATTTAATACATAATTTAAAGACGAGGCTTAAGACTCTCTTGTTATTATCGAAATACCTGAAATTGAAAGTACGTTTGGAAATCTTGCTTTACTTAAAAACCTTAGATGGACTAATTGGGAGAAGAAAAATAACTTGTAACATACGACGTGGTGTTTTACTCAAGTGGCAAAACCGTGAACTACTGCTGTGTTTAACAAAACAAATCTTATTGGATAATTTCAAAACGTTTTTACTCCCAAAGACGATATCTGAAGTACAGGTTCGTCGAAATAAACGTTAGTAAAAACGTAAACAAAGTACAAATGCTTTAGTTGATGTTTGTTTGTTTTTTTGCTTTAAAATTAACTTTCATTTACAATAAGGTACATTATTGTGTCAGAAGTTTGTAATCTACTAAGCCTATCCTCTAAGTTTGCATTTGTTTAAAAACAAACATTGGTGAAATTATCAGCGTATTGATATCTCAGTAATGTGTGATTAAGTATTAGTAACGAACATATTTACAAAGACAAAACAAATATTAGCTTATTAAGAAATATTACTCTATTTTTTTAAGTATTCAAAGTCTTCCGTACGAGTCATCAGCGGTCGGTACGGCCCTCAAATAATTATTACATAAAAAAAACTATTTCGCGAGCGTTTAGTCATTTCGTGAGATGTGAATATTACGTATTTTGGTTGTCAATTACCCGTGTGTTATATAATAACAATCAGTGTGTTATATTAATAACAATCAGTGTGTTATATTAATAACAATCAGAGTGTTATATTAATAACAAGCAGAGAGCCTGCTTCACATTGAATAACTTATTAAAGAAGCAAAGCCAATAATCCAGTATACCAACATATTTCACTCATACTTCGTTTCAGCTATGCGTCAGTATCTTCCTTGAGTATTAATTCGATACTTTAATTTTGTTCTTTTTTTGACCCGTAAACTCAAGTTTGAACTATGAACTCTAATATCTTAAAATATAATGGTTTTCGAAAACATAAAGTATTTGACTCATCAATTATTATCTATTTCCCTATAGAATTTGGAGTGATTTCACCGTCTTGTTCATTTTTGTCATTATTTTTAGTTCGAAACGTTTTAGTTACAGTACCCATAATTCGTTATTATTAATAATTTAGATCAGAAATACAAAAGCTGTAGAGTTAAAGTACTTTGAATTCTAGCGTTTTAAGCCTACATCCTTAACTATAAACATTCGTAAGATTTACTTAACTCACGGGACATGTGTTGGTAGAGCTCTGACTTTCGGAGCTGGCGAACCGAGTTCGAATCCGTGTTATACCACAAAGTTGTTACTGTTATTATGAAACGATTTTATTTGTTCATTCATTGTATTCCTTTCTCAATAGATGCACCGTTAAAGAAGCCTGTCAGAATAGCACGTGGTCCTTTACAGAACACAGCACCCCCAGGTGGTTATCATTAGAAACAAAACAATGTATCGATTTCCAGTCTGTTCGACCAAATCAAATTCCATATGCCAGTTCTTCAGTGGTAAGTTTTATTAATGAATATCTTATCTTAATATTAGCAGGATATTCTAATGTATAACTGCTTTCGTTTTTCGTTGTGGGGGGCTGGGCGTGGCCTAGTGGGTTCAGACTGTGAATCCAAGGATTCACGACCCATTGCCGGAGAATCGCGCTCTGCACTTCCACTTTTCGATCACACGAGAGGAGCTCAAAAGTTGGCGGTAAGTGTTGTTGACTATCAGCCTTCTCTTTAGTCTTATGTTCAAAACTAGGGATAACTATCAGAAGTTAGCCGTTGTGTAGTTTTCCCAGAATTATGAGACAAACAACTGTCGTTGTGACTTAGAAGGTATTCGGAGTACATCTCCAAGAGATTCAGAGACTCCCCGGATATTCAGCGTTTAAATCTGAGATCTTGTAACACAGTAAAAACCTTGTTGAGACACCCGCGGTGGGCAGAGCACAAATATACCCCCCAAAAATAACACAAAACGCATTCAAAGAAAAATGCCAAACATGCTCGCCCTTTCAGCCGTGGGGGCGTTATAATGTGACGGTCAATTCCACTATTCGCTGGTAAAAGAGTAGCCCAAGAGTTGGCGGTGGGTGGTGATGACTAGCTGCCTTCCCTCTAGTCTTACACTGCTAAATTAGGGACGGCTAGCGCAGATAGCCCTCGTGTAGCTTTGCGCAAATCCATAAAACGTAGATTTACCAAAAAGCGTTTGTTTGTTTTTTTTTGTAGGGGGGGGGGGCATAGAATAGCTAGATCGGTTTTTAATGCGCCCGGTTTTGACGTGAAAATAAAATGCTGAGTACAATCACGTTAATTTAGAAGAAAAAGTAACCAACAATAGGAATCGGGAAGACACGGGCTGTTTGTCTTAAAACTTACTTTAATGTTCTAATACAAGACATGGCTGTTTGTCTTAAGACCCGTATTTACTCCAATGTTCTAATACAAGAAATTGTCTGTTTCCGTATAGTGATCGATTTTCAGAAGAGTGGGGCTTCCTAAGTATAAAGAATCCCACTTGTTGATGTATAAGGTTTGATACCACTAATTATTGGTTAAGATCAAAAGTATTCCGTCACCAAACACGCTCGCCCTTTCATCCTCGGGGGCGTTATCATGTGAAAGTCAGTCTCCCTATACGTTGACAAATAATAGCTCAAGAGTTGGCGGTGTGTGGTGTTGACTAACTGCCTTCCCTCTCGTCCATCACTTCAAAATTAGAGACGGCTATAGTACAAATAACTCTCGTGCAGCTTTGTGCGAAATTGAATAAAGAAACCAGTTTAATTCGAATCTTTGATCGTTTCCTTTTGAAGCAGTTTAGTGTAATTACTCCTCCTTTGACTGACCACTTTTTGACCTCTTCATATGTGGCCTTACAAATATTACCTACATCTTTTCATTTACTAACGCTGCCAGTTCTCAAATGTCCAGTATTATATTACAAGCAAGTGGACAAAGTCCAAGCTGGTATGAAGGAGACGATAGTTACTGTGTAATAACGAACCACTGCGTTACTGTGTAATAACGATCCACTGCGTTACTGTGTAATAACGATCCACTGCATTACTGTGTAATAACGATCCACTGCGTTACTGTGTAATAACGATCCACTGCGTTACTGTGTAATAACGATCCACTGCGTTACTGTGTAATAACGAACCACTGTTACTGTGTAATAACGAACCACTGCGTTACTGTGTAATAACGAACCACTGCGTTACTGTGTAATAACGAACCAATGCGTTACTGTGTAATAACGAACCACTGTTTTACTGTGTAATAACGAACCACTGCGTTTTACTGTGTAATAACGATCCACTGCGTTACTGTGTAATAACGAACCACTGTTTTACAGCTATTTATCAGCAGCACCACAAGAGCCGAAGAGTTTGACGAAGTTATTGTGGATGAAGGTCATCCCATCATCCCTGGATTACATTTTGACCCAACTGGCGGTTTTCTTTATGTATCATCTCCGTACAAGGTTTGTGGTCCTATATTTACATATATAATCAGTATATAATTATAATTCACCTGCTCCTCGTTTTCAAATTAATAAGCGAACACAAGGAATAAAACGTTCATATTTTCGTGTCAGTTTGTGCTTGATAAGTCGTTACTGTTAATTATGACGTAATGGTTTGACTAACTATATGCACACACAAGTTTAAGATTTCATTGTTGGTTTTGGTTTCTTTTCTTTTTTTAAAAAAAAAATCAGTCTGTAACAGGAATATTTTATTCTTTTTCACAAATTGCAGCGCATACTGGAGAGATGTTAGTTGTTAATAAATTTAAAAGGAAATACATACTTTACTCTCCAGATTAAACTTTTAATTTCACGAACGTTTATATTAAAATCACAGAGACACGCCAACTGAAGTGATTAAACAATTGAGAAATGTATTTTTTTTTTTTTGAAAAAAGTGAACCACGTTACCGAGTTATGCCGGTTTTGGGGATTAAGATTAGGCTTCGTTCAGTGGTGGAGTGTATACTGAGAAATTATTCAACGACCCCTATTCTGCATTATACTTTACGCTTTCCTACGTAACGGACGCACACTAATCGCTCCCCTCAAAAGCCGCAAGGAAATAGTTCGAGATGTATCCCATGATTCCTTAAAATAATATCATCTTTTTTTTTCAGCCTTGCGTCGGTAGCTTTTAGCAATATTAGCAGAACGATGAAAAAACTTGGGCAAGTGATGTAAAATTTAAATGAAAAACGTAGGTTATTGTAGAGTAGAAATGCGTAATTTATATGTATAAATACGCAAGTTTATGTGAGAGATAACTATTATAGTGAATTGCAGGTTCAAATTAATAACTAAACCTTTAGTAAGAACAATCCGGTTATCGATGTACTGAAGTAATAAAACTTTATATATTTTGTATTTAAGTTATTGAAAATGGTCTGCCATAAATGGTAATATTCATTTAAGTTGGAATCTGATTTTGATTTTCCAGATCAGCAAGGTTAATGTACAGAGATGTGAACGCTATAAGACCTGCGCAGAGTGTCTAAATAAGAAGAACCCGTACTGTGGTTGGTGCTCTTTAAAACGAAGGTAGGTCCAAACAAACAAAGTCGATTTTAATGGTGTTAAAAAACAACAACAACAACAAAAAAGAACCCGTACTGTGGTTGGTGCTCTTTAAAACAAAGGTAGGCCCAAACAAACAAAGTCGAGTTTAATGGTGTTAAAAAACAACAACAACAACAACAAAAAGAACCCGTACTGTGGTTGGTGCTCTTTAAAACGAGGGTAGGTAAAAAAAAAATGATTTTTATTGAGTCTAAATAAAAGGGAAGACCCATAATGGGATTGTTGCTCTTTAAAAGGTAGAGGTCTAAAAAAGAAAATAGATGTTTGTGGTCTTACAGTGTCCGATGCTCTTTACTGCAAAGGTAAGTCCAAATCGTCGGTTTATAGGTCCCACAATGATTAGTTGTTCTTTTTAAAACGGTCCCGGCATGGCCAGGTGGCTAGGGCGCTCGACTCGCAATCTGAGGGTCGTGGGTTCGAATTCCCGTCCCGTTTGTCTTAAAACTTACTTTAATGTTCTAATACAAGACACGGGCTGTTTGTCTTAAGACCCGTATTTACTCCAATGTTCTAATACAAGACTTCAGTTGAAGTCTACACGACCCTTAGTATAGATCAGGGTCTACTACTACTTTAGTTGAAGCCTGTACGACCCTTAGTATAGATCAGGGTCTACTACTACTTTAGTTGAAGTCTACACGACCTTAGTATAGATCAGGGTCTACTACTACTTTAGTTGAAGTCTACACGACCTTAGTATAGATCAGGGTCTACTACTACTTTAGTTGAAAATCAAGTGTGCTAGTCTTTTTTTTCTTCTTCTTGTTAAATCTGAAAACAGAATGTTTCTATGAAATTATTCGTATTGTTTCCATGTGTTGTTCCGTAAGTGATTTACTTTATGAAATCACGTATAAGTTTATGTAATGAAAGTAATTCATCATTACTTTACAATTACGAGGTGAATTATGCATTAACTAACTACAGAACTACACTTTACGATAAGTTTCGATATCAACTGTTCTACTTCTTAGCCTACTTTAGAAACAGTTTTTATTGTTTTATACAAGAGTAGTCTTAACACCAATTTTTATATATCTCATTGTGTTTTGAAAAGTCTGGAATTTGTGTTCATGACGTAAAGGATCCTTAGTGTCCGATTTGGAATAGTGTTTAATTGATATTAGTGACTCAGCTAAATTACTCCTCTCCGACCCAACCCAAGTAATAACCCCAAGTGTTGACTTTCAAAACTCAGTAAAATGTAATAGGATGTCTTTAACTGTGGCCGTTAAAATTCATCGTTCTGTTCTCACCGCCAGGTTTTAGTGATTTCAGATAAGTCGAGATACTCTAAGCTAAGACTAACATTTATCTCACCCTTGTGTGATTTCAGAAGGCGGGTAATATCCTGAACTTCTGTAATGAGACCATCAAACTGAACGGCTCCATACCCATCCAACAACAAGCAGCTGTGTTCTACTTCAATACAACCTTGACGTCCGTAGGGTTTAGAAGAATTGGTCAACACACGGTGGCGTTTGCAGGGACAAGCGACGGAAGCCTGAAGATGGTACTCCAAAACGATATATATTCATTCTTTAGACTTTGCCATCTTTTTATTCAGATGTCATTATTATTATTAAAGGTTGACATTCAAGTCCGAAGTCCTATGTTTGGGGTTATCATACTCGAGGGTCGAAAACACGCCAGCGGCGAGGGTACTCGGTTGATGACCTAGGACAGAGTGGTCATAGAAACATTTTGTAGTCTGCCTGCTACTCATAATTAAGACTGTTTATTATTAATTACAATTATTTTTGTAGAAATTTAGAAGCTCTTTTGGTAGAAGTTAGTACACAAGTATATCTGGTTAGAAACGTAAGAAATGTCTGTGTAAAGTCAGTGCTTAATTTCTCTCCAGATCCGTAAGCTAGTCAGTGCTTAATTTTTCTTTAAACCTAAAGACATAAACGTTATAGTTAATTTTCGGACTGTTTCGGTTACGTTGCGAATTGATATTTGACTGGCGTAGTTAACTATTACTCTTTCTTCCCCCATACCAAATAATAGCCGCATTAACGTTTTAATTGTTATCTCCCAAATCACCGCATCCCTCAATTGGGAACCGGTTCTTTTTTCTAATTTAGAAATTAAGCACTGATACAGTTCTGTTTTAGACCCTTAGTATAGATCAGGGGTCTACTACGTTTAGACTTCAACTAAAGTAGTAGTAGACCCTGATCTATACTTAGGGTCGTGTAGACTTCAACCATCACTGTCGATGTCAGTATTAATCACTGGTAAACTTTAC